GGGGAATCGCGTTTAATTTGACAGGTAGGAGCGCGCGAGGGGGGCTGCGGGGGGCGCGGGGGCTGCGGCTGCGATCCTGCAGCGCCGGGAAGGAATCCGGCCCCGGGGTGGGGGGGGTGGGCCGGGGCTCCCCGAGTGCCGATACGGGGCCGGATCCTCTGCCCTCCCCCAGGGGGGGGCGTGGGGGGGGTCGTACACGCAGTTGCGGGTTTGCACGCAGCTCACAGGAGCCGCTCCCCGAGCCGCTGTTCCCGCAGCCGTGATCCCGCAGGGCGGCGCGGAGCCCCCGGGGCGCCCCGGCCACAACCGTCCGTTCCACGACGGGTGAGCAAAGCGGAAGGGCCGCCCCCCCCCCCCCCCCCCCCGGCTCCCCCCTCGCCCCGCAGCCGGCGGCTCACGTCGGCCCCACGAGCGCCCGACTGTCGCGCAGCCGCAGCGAAGACGCGGAGCGGATAACGAGGAGGGGGGGTTGTTGGCCGTCCCCGCAGCCCCCCGGCTCTCGGGGCCCCCCGCCCCTCCCCCGGCAGGAGGCCGCGCTGGGTGACGCGCAGCTCGGCCCGTGGGTCTTCTCTCCATCCCCGCAGCGGGAACCGAGCCCGGCCCCCCGGCTCCTCCATCCCCTATCAGTACCGGGCAGCTGCGGTGCCCCCAGCCGCGGCCCCCAGCCCATCCCAGCCCCCGTCCCGGGGTGCAGCTGATCGGGGTGGGAGCGGCTGCGGGGCCGGGCGGCGCGCAGCTCCCACCCCCCCGGGCACGGTGCTTCCCAGAGCCGCACACAGGGGCTCAGCCCGGGGACAGCCGGGGCTGTGGGACCCCGCATCGGGCACGGAGCCCCGCACTGCGGCCACGCGTGTCCCCCGATTCCCGGCACGGGGCCACGCTCACACCCGCGTGCACCCACACACGGGGTGTGCAGCCCGATCGCCTCTGGGCAGCTGTTGTGTCACGCTGTGCCGTGCCGTGCAGTGCCATGCAGTGCCGTGCCATGCAGTGCCATGCCGTGCCATGCCGTGCCATGCAGTGCCATGCAGTGCCATGCAGTGCCGTGCCCCCGGCCAGCGGACCCGTCAGCCTCAGCCCTGTCTCCCCTTCTCCCCACACACTCTCATCTCTTTCCTCTTCCAATTTTCTGCATGATTAACTCCACGGCTGCTTCCTGACAACCTCTGCTGTTGGTATTAATTTCTTTTAACTAGTGATTAATTACTCGCTGTCTCCCGCGCTCCTTCTCCCCGCCGCCCATTTGCATATTAATCCAACCCCCCCCCCCCGACGCGCTGCCCCGCGGTTCCCTCACCTACAAACGGCCCCTCACACTTCGTTCCGGAGCACCCACCGCCCCCACTCCCACGTTAGGGGACCCCCACTGCTGGGTGTCCCGGGGGGCACCGGGCACCCCAAGATGCCCTCCGTCCGGCCCCGGGGTTTCCCATCACAGGAAGGGCTCCAGGCCGAGGGAAAGAGCCACGCAAGGCCCCGTCGGCTCTCGCTTTTATTAAGAAACCCACGGCAGGTTCCCATCCCTGCAGGAAGGGCTCCGTGGGTACCGAGCCGCCCGGCACCGGCCCGTGGCACCGGGGCAGCGCAGCCGGGCTGCAGCCACGAGGCACGGCCACACCGGGGGCACGAGGTAGGAGCGGCGGGGCGGCGAGATGAGACCAGGCCGGCCGCTGCGGGGAGAAGGCACACGAGGCTGCGGCAGGAGCGCGGCTCCAAAGCCCGGCGTGCGGCCCCGAGCTCCCGCAGCGCCGCGGGCTGCTTCGTGGGTCCGGCAGCGCGCGGGGCGGCGCCCACCGGGCGTCCCGCTCTGCACCCCGCGAGGTGAGGAAGGTTCCCCCACGGAGGGTCCTACGGGCGCTGCCGGGGCGGCGGCGTGGCGTGGGACGGGTGTTTGAGCTGCAGCGCCAGCCGGCAGCCCTCCAGCTCGGCGCCCTGCAGGGGGGGGACAGCCGTCAGCGCCGTGCGCCCGTCCCGCAGCACGGGGAGCGGCAGCCCCCGGCCCGGCGCTCACCAGCATGGCTCCGTACGCCGCTTCCGCCGCTGCCTTCTGGTGGAAGTTGATGAAGGCGCAGCGCTTCTCCGGGAGCAGCCGGATGGATTGGATCTGCCCGAACCTGCGTGGTGGGGCAGCTCAGCCAGCCGCCCCCGGCCACCCCCCGCTGCAGGGAAGGGGAAACGGAGCAGAAGGCGGCCGGGCTGCACCGCGATGGAGGAGGGCTCGCTCCCCGGGAGCGCAGAGAACCGGAACCCGGCGCAGGGACGGTCAGAGACCGGGCGGCGGGGGGGGGGGTGCGGCGCCATCAGGTCCTACAGGGATGGGGCCGGGGAGGACGGGAGCTGCAGGGCACTCACCGGCCGAAGCAGCTCTGCAGCGCTTTCTTGGTGACCTTGAAAGTGATGTTTCCGACCCACAGAGGATAGCAGTCCCTGCCAAACGGCACTGTCACCAGCAGCCCGACCCCTGCCCCGCTCCTGCCGATCCCCGAGGGTGGCCGCCCAGCAGCCCGTGGACCCAGCAGCCCCTTGTCCCGTGCCAGAATCCCAGCCTTACCTGGCAGGGTGCTGGGAAGGCAGCGGGTGCCTGGGGCTGGCCGTGGCCGTGTTCCGCACGTGGCTTTTCGAGTGGCTCCTCGAGTTCACCACGGTCACGAAGCCGCCCGCGTCCACATCGCTGCTGCCGCCGTTCTCACACTCATCTGCTGAGAAGCCCTCAGGGCTCAGCACCACCCCTCGCACCCTCCCAGCTCTGCCACGTTCACCCCAACCCCGGGAGCACAACGAAGGCCCCTTACCGGAGGTGGGTGTCAGCGGCTCCCCAGCTTCCAGCGCGGGGATTTCCCTGGGGCTGCCGGCATCGCGGAGGCTGCTCTGCTGCAGGGCAGAGGGGTCAGAGGCACAGGGCAGCGGTGGGGAGGCAGCGGCGGGGCCGGAGCTCACCTGCAGCAGCATCTGGCAGGCCTCCAGCCGGGTGGCTACGTCAGCGTGGGCGCCCTTGAGGTGCAGCAGCTGCTCAAAGGTGTCCCTGGCCTCGGCGTAGAGCTGGGAGCAGAGAGCGGCTGAGCCGCTGCCCGCGGGGACGCCGAGCCCTGCAGCCCTGCCTCCACGCTACCTTCAGCCCCCACAGCGCCTTGCCCTTGCGGAAGAAGCCTTTGGGCCAGTTGGGCTGCAGCTCCAGGGCCATCTGGGCATCCCTCAGCGCCTCCTGGTACTGCAGGAGCTTCTCGTAGCAGTACGACCGGTTCCCAAAGAGCCTGGGGGACAACGTGGGTCAGCAGTGAGGGCTCAGGGCGCTGCCCAGGCCCCCCCGCAGCCCACCGCTCACCGGTGCTCCCTGGGGTTCAGCTTTATGGCCTCGGTGAAGGCCTGCACAGCCTCTGCGTAGCGTCCCTGCACGGCAGCCTGGTAGCCGCAGCCTGCAGGGAGAGCATCGCCCGCTGCTGACCGGCACGCAGCAACGCAGCCGGGGAGCGTGGGGCTCTGCAGGGGGACGGTGCAGCTCTGCACTGCGCCCAGCTGCGTGGGAAAGGAGCTGTGGGGACAGGCAGCAGCCGTGCAGCCCCACAGATGGTGATAAGCGCCAGGACGCGTGTCCAGCACAGCCCTCCTGGGGGGCAAACCTACCCCCGAAGCTGGCACGCAGCAGAGCGGAGCCCACCCTCTGCCTCCTGCTGCCCGGGGATGCCCGAGGCACTGACCTGCAAGAATCAGGCTCTGCTCCAACATGTTTGTGTCCAAGAGCGCAGGCTCGGGCTTGGGTGCCTGTGGGGCAGCCGTGCGGGGCAGTGGGGGCTCGGGTGCCTGTGGGGCAGCCATACAGGGCAGTGGGGGCTCAGGCTCCTGCCCCGGCCCAGGAGCAGAGGTTCAGGCACAGCTGCTGTCCCCGGTGCGTGGGCATTACTCCCTGCTGTGCCTTAGCTTGCAGAGCTGCTGCGAGAGGGCAGAGGATGCCCCCCCCCCCCAGCTCCATAAACCCATCAGAGGCTACAGAGGAGCTGCCACAGCCCCCAGCGTGCAGCGTGGGATGAACGCAGTGTCCCCATCACCACCTGGGCACCAAACCCCAGCCCTGGGATCACTGCGCTGTGCCAGCCACAGGGGAAGCTGCAGCTGGGGATCCCTGTGCCCAGCGCCAGGCTCTTGAACCCCTCTAGAATCACAGAATTGGGTTGGAAGGGACCTCAAGGATCACGAAGCTCCAACCCCCCACCAATGCAGGGCCACCAACCTCCCCATTGCAGCCCAGGCTGCCCAGGGCCCCATCCAACCTCCAACCCCTCCAGGGATGGACGGGGCATCACAGCCTCTCTGCAGCTGTTCCAGCCCCTCCCCGCTCTCACAGCACACAACCCTGACATCCAACCTAAACCTTCCCTCCTTCAACTTCAACCCATTTTCCCTCGTCCTGCTGTCATCTCCCCTTTCCAAGTGTTGGTCTGCCCCACGCCACCTAAGGCTCCTTGTGCCAGGGGCCCTGCAGACCATCTGCACTGAGCAGCACACTTCTCACGTGTGGAGATGCCCCTGTGAGGACCGGGATCCAACTCACCCCCTCCTGCAGCCTCTTGTTGGGCTCTGCAGCATCAGCTCTGACTGATTTATCCTTTGCAGGTGCTGGCGGCTTCACGCCCGCTTTCTGCCACGCTTTGATGACAAAGGTGCAACTCAAATCCAGTTCATCCTAGGGAAATGAGGGATGGGAGCCGTGCGGAGCTGTGGGCCCTGGCTGCGGGGCTGGTGGCACTCAGGGGACACTCAGGGACTCAGACACATTGCGGTCACTGGGCAGGGCTGACCCAGCACGAGGCATCCCACTCTCACCTCTATCCCTTCCAGATCCCCCACTCCCTCCTCTGCACGATCCTGGAGGCGCTGAGGGGGGCTGGAGGCCAGGCAGCCGCTCTCCTCCTCAGCACTGCTGGCGTCCCCATGAGTGGCACCCGCAGCACTGGCCGGGGATGCGGTGCTCTGCAGGCAGACGAGGGCAGAGGGTGGGCTCTGCTCCTGGCAGCCCGGCCCCTGGTGTCTGGGGGTTTGTAGGAGCCCCCTGAGCTCCAAAAGGCTGCTGCTCAGTGCTGTGCCCAGGGCTGCCCGCCCCAGGGAGGCGCAAAGCTGCTCACCGACGCGGCTGCCTGCCTGCTCCTCAGCTCCTGTTCCAACTTCTCTTGTTTCCTCCGGTCTTTTTGCTTCTGGAAACCAGAAGTACAGAAATGGTGAGCTGGCACCAGCACGGTGCAGAACAAACCCAGCACACGCCCTGGGGCGCAGCTCACTGCCCGATGAGCTGCAGGCAGAGGATAAACAGAGGGCACAGCTCAGCAGGAAGGGCTGCACACGCCCCAGGAGAGCTGTGTGAGCGTCATGGCATTACACACCCACATAAAACCCACCTTCTTCTTCAGTTTCTTCCTCTCTGCTTTCTTCTTCATTCTCTCCTCTTCTGCCAGCAGCTCCATTGCATTCTTCTCCGCTTCCTGGGGAAGGAGAGCTGCTGGTGAATGATTGCGAGCCCCCGGGTTGCGCTGCAGGGCAGGGCAGGGCTGGGACAGGCAGCCAGCAGCAGGGCGGCCGCGGGGTGGTGGGGACACCTGTGGGAGCCCCGGAGCCGGGAGGAATCGCAGCGGGGCTCCGCAGGAAGGCAGAAGCAGGGACGGTTCCGAGCAGAGCGGGGCTGCGGGAGCAGAGCGGGTGGGAGCGGAGGGAGCGAAGGCCGCGGTGGGACGGGCCGGGGCGGCGCTCACCTCGGCCGTAACGCGGTGCCTCCACGCCCCGCTCAGCCCGCGCGGCTCCGCATCCGCGTCCGTAAAGCCGCGCGGAGGGACGAGCAGCGGATCGCCGTACGGCCCATAGAAAGCGAACGGGGGGCGGCCGTAGGTCGGGATAAAGCGCTCTTCCTCCTCCGCCTCCTCCCCGTCGGACTCGGGGCAGAACCAACCCGGCACCGCAAAGGGAGCGAAGCCGAGCCCCGGCCCCGGAACGTCCCCCATGGCCGCGCGGGGCGGAGCCGCCGCCAAACGAAAGCGAAACGCGGCGGAACGGAACCGCCCACAGCAACCGGAAGCGCCCGCTGGGCGGACACCGGAAGTCGGGCACGGGCGGGGCGCGAGGCGGCCGCCTCCATCTCGGATGAGGGCAGGACGGTGGCCCGCGAGGCCCAAGCGCCGCCGAGCGCTCGCGTCGCGGCCGGCGCCGCCCCCGCGCCGTCCCGGTGTCCCCCGGGCGCCGCCAGATTAGCGCTGCGGTTAAGCTCATTTCCGCCGGGCCTCGCGCCGCTCCGGGCCGCGTCCCGACGCCGCCGTGGGGAATGGAGGACGGGCGCTGCGCGAGGCCGTGCCTGCAGGTGAGACCCGCGGAGCGGGGATCGTCGCGGTAGCGGGGCGCCGTGGGCCGGGAGCGCGGGGCGGAGCCGCGCTGGGGGTGGCGGGCGGCGCGTGCCGGAGCCGCACCGGTCGTCGCGGCCGAGTTCGGGACCGGGGCCGCCGCCGGGCTGCGAATCCAGGGCCGGGCCGGGCCGGGCCGCGGGCGGCGTCTCCGTGGCAACGGCGCCCGCCCCCGCGCGCAGCGTCGCCCCGCCCCTCGCTGCAGGCGGCGGGCGGCGATTGGCCGAGGGGGCGGGAGGCGGGGCCAGGAGCTGAGTGCGCCCCGCCCCTCTCACCGCCCCGCCCCGCCCGCTCCGTGCCGCCAGCTGCTGGGTGCCGACGGGCCCGGCCTGGAGGCGCTGCTGCTGCTGTTGATGGCCCGCGTGCCGCCGCGAGGCCGCCTGCCCGCCCTGCCCGGGAGCGGCACGGAGCGCACGGAGCCAGGTGAGCGCCCGGCACTTCCGGTCCCGCACCATACCCCGAGGTCCCCGGCGGCCCCGGGCCCCGCGTTCCCACCGGCGGCGCTCCGTCCCGCGGGCGGCCCCTCGCCGGGCGGCCTGGCGCGCTCCCTGCAGAGGGCGGAGGCGATTCTGCGGAGCTGCGTCGGTCCCGGGATTCTCCGCCTGCGCTCCCCCCGGCCCGGCGGCGGCTCCTCCGCCTCGGACAGCGACGAGGAGGACGCCGAGTTCGGCCCCCGCGCGGCCCTGGTGGAGCAGAGCTTCCGGGGGCTGCGCCGCGCCTTCCGCGCCTGGGAGAATCCGCGCACCGAGACGTTCCGCGGCCACGTGCTGCCGCCACCAGCCGACGCCTTCTGCTACCACGCCGTGCACCCGCGCGTGGCCGAGCGCTGCGCCGCGCTGCACGCCCTGCTGCAGCACCGCCACCAGCTGCGCCTGGCCCGCCATTACAGCCGCCGCCTGAAGGCCGCCTCCGACTTCGTCCGCCTGCTGCTGAGCCCCGAGCCGCGGCCGCTGCGGGCGCTGTGCGAGGAGCTGCGGACGCACGCCGGGCATTGGGCCGCGCTGCGGCGGCGGATGCGGGGCGACGCGTGGCTGCGGCCGCTGCTGCTGGGGCGGCGCGAGGCCGTGGCTCACATGCGGCGGGCGCTGGAGCTGCTGGCGCTGCAGGCGGCGCGGCTGCTGGAGGAGCGCTTGGAGGCCGCGCTGCGCGGTGCGGCGCGGGACGGGGCCCCCCCGGCGCAGCTCGCCGACCTCTTCCAGGGCCTGGAGATCTACAACCGCGTGCTGGCGGAGCTGGATACGGAGCCGGGCTCCGCTCGCTTGACCGCCGGCGCCAACCGGGCCGCGGGGATGCCGCCCCGCGCCTTCCCCCTGCGGCGGGTGCTGGCCCTGCTGGCGTCGGAGAGGGGCCGGTGGGCGGCCGAGAGCCTCGCGCGGCTCCTGCGGCACGGAGACGGCGGCTTCGTTGCGGCGGAGGATGAGGATGGACGGGAGGCGGCGCGGAGCCTCCCCGAGGCGCTGCGGGCGCTGTGCCGTGAGGACGAGCGGCTCGTGGGCCCCGTGCTGCAGGTGTTGGTGGCCTCTGCCGACGGCCTTTGGCGTCCTGCCCTCGGCGTTCCCACGGAGAGCCCCGCGGCTCCGTCCCCGCGGCCGGGCTCGGCCTGCAAGGCGGTGCGCTGGTTGGACGCGACCCACGCGGCGGCTGCCGAGGCTCTGCACGCCCGGTACCGCCCGCTGTGCTGGGAGGCGGCCGGCGCCGCGCTGGGCCCCCGCTTGGAGCTACCGGCCGGCGGGACGGGACGCGCCGCCGGCGTCGCACGGGAGCTGCAGCTGGCGCTCGGTCCCGGTACGTGCGGGAGGGGCGGCTCGGCTGCCTCCGCGGAAGGCCGGCACCACGTGGGAGCCGGTCGGCCCCGGGCCGTTCCTCAGCGCTGTCCGTTCGCAGCCCGCATCCCCCCGGAGTGCGAGGAGGAGTTGGGGCGGCTGTGCCGGCGGCTGCAGTGCCGGGCTGCCCTGCTCGACTGGCACCGAGGTACGCGTGGGGGTGGAAGTGGGGCGGGGTGTCCCCTTCACGGCTGCCGGCACCGCTCGCATCGCGTCTCCCCGCAGACTTCGCCCTGGCGCTGGGCTCGGGGCTGAGCGACCGCTGCGCGGTGCCGGAGCGCTCGGAGGGCGCGGCGCACAGCGGCACGGCGCGGCTCCTTCAGCGGCTCTACCCGGCCCTGAGCTCCGCCCTGCGGAACCTGCCGGGCGACCCAGAGGGTGAGCGGTGCATCGCCGGGACGCGGGGATGGGGGCGATCCGCGTTGGCTCTTGCGTGACGCTGCTCCCCCGCTCCGCCTCCAGGCAGCCCCCTCGGCTCGCCCTGCCTGCGCCTGCAGCTGCTGGGCTGCTGCCTGGCTACGGCTCAGGCCTCGCGCTCCTGGTTGATGGGCAAAGCCTTCCAGTACCTGGCGGCGTGGTCCCTGCAGCAGTTCCTGCTCGTCACTCAGGGAGACCTGCAGGTGGGCGCGGGGCTCGGCGCGGTGCGGGGCTGCGCTGCGGCCCCGGAGGCGGTTTGAGGTCACGGCTGTCCGCTCCGCAGCTGCTGAAGGCCGAGACGGACGCGCTGGAGCTGCTGGTGAACGCGGCCTTCCCGGAGCCCGAGGACGGCCCGCAGCACCTCGCGCCCCACCGGCGCCTGCGCTCCCAACACGAGCGGTGGCTGCGCCTGCAGATCCGCTCCGCGGCCGCCAGCATCCAGGTACGGCCGCCGCCGGGGCTCCGGGGGCCCGCAGCCGGCAGCGCAGCGGCAGGCAGCGCTTCGGCCCCTCGGAGGCGCCCCCCATCGGCTCCTCTCCGCTCGCAGCTGTTCGCGGGGGACGTGTTGAAGCTCTTCTCCACGGACTGCAAGCGGATGTCGGCGGAGATCTTCGACCAGACCATGCCGCTGGGCAGGCACTGGAGGCTCGGCCTCCGAGCCGGTGGGTGGCGGCCCCCCATCCTCTTCCCCCCCCCCCCCCGGCCCGGACGGGGCTGACGCCGTGTCTCCGCAGAGCTGCCCAGCTCCCCCAGCGACTACGCGGCGGCGGCGGCTCAGACGGTGCTGGGCCAAGTGCTGCAGGGCGCGCAGCTGCTGCCCCGCGACTCCCAGGTGCCCACGTTGGCGCGGGTGATGACGGCCTTCGTGGAGGCGTGGATGGATCACATCCTGGCGCAGAAGATCAAGTTCAGGTCCGGGGGGAGTCGGTAGGGAGGGGGGAGAGCCGGGCTGGGCGCCGGGTCGGTGCTGAGGCGCCGCCCGCAGCCTGCAGGGCGCTCTGCAGCTGCAGCAGGACTTCGCGCTGGTGCGGCAGCTGGTGCAGTGCGAGCAGTACGGGCTGGAGCCCGACACGAGGCAGGCGCTGCTCTCCCTGCGCGTCCTCCAGCAGATGGACGGTGCCATCCTCTGCCTCCTGCAGCAGCCCAGCGGCAAGGCGTATCTGCCGCCCCACGGCTGGCCCTCCCTGCGGCAGTGCTGTGAGGAGGGGGGGGGCCGGGACGAGGGGG